ACACACACACACACACACACACACACACACACACACACACACACACAGAGCAGAGGCTGGCGTGGGTGCCGAAAAGGCAGGTTAGTCACAGCATCTGGCAGCAGTTAGGGCGCAGGAGTTCCCTCCATGGGCCCTGGGAGAGGGGCTGCCTTCTACCTCTCCCTGCGCTCAAATTCCCTCCTCAGCCTTGCTCTAGGAGAGGTGGACCCAGGAAGGCCTTGGGTTAGACAAAGAAACGTTGTTGTAGTTGGAAAGAGCCCTAGTTTTCCTTCCTTCTGAGTCAACGCTGACTCCTGTAAGGAGTCATTCCCCGGTACCCCCAGACCCCCACCCTCTCCAGGGTCAGGCTAGGACAGGGAGCACCTCAGGCTGCTTCATCTGGGGACAACCTAAAATGACTCTTGAATCATCTGCCCCCAGGCAGTGAGAGGACAGAGGGAGTTAACACTGTCACTTGTCGATCATCTTATTTCCTCCCCTGTTCCAACCCCTCCCAAGTCGCTGGAATCCTGCTCCTCTGGGCAGGTCTGTTGGGTGCAAAGTCCCTCCCGATGCTTCCAGATGACTTTACTGAGTGCCACCAGGGTGAGTGGCTCAGTGTTGCCCTCAGGGAGGTCCCAGCCTGGGGTGAGAGCAGGGAGACTGGCGGGGGTCCCTCACAGCAGGGTCGGGAGGCTGGCACAGGAGAGAGAGGACGGCTAAACAGTGGCAAGGTTTCTGGGGTGGGCCTGGGGACCTTAGCCTTTAGCCTTTAGTAATCGAGTGTCCCAGTTCTCAAGCAAATATGAAGCTGGTTTGAGGGCTGTGCTTGAGTTTGAATAATTTCTATAAGCCTAGCATGGTCTGGCTTAAAGGAGATACCCAGTCCTTGTTTGCTGAATGAATGATGAATGAACAAATCAATCAATCAATTAATCAATGAACTAAAGAATAGGTTGGCTGGACTGAGTGCAAATGGAGCACATGGGTTCAGGCCTATGCAGGCTGCCGCCCCTAGAGGGCGCTCCAAGACTTTGATAAGCACTTGAGCCTCCCGTGACCTCCACATTCTAGGAAGCTGTGAAAATCCCCAGCTTTAAAAGCCACACGAGCCATCTTTTCGATTATCTTCATTTTGCCCAAAAGGAAACCCCAGTGGGCAGGGCTGGTCCTGCAATAGAGAGCAGAACATGGGACACCACCCCTGTCCAGAGGCATTCACTGCCCCTTCATGGCTGATTCTGTCTCAAGCCCCCGGCAAGAGGGTGGATGGGGCTACGTGACTGCCCTCGGCACCCTGCTCAGCTGACCATGCTTACCAGAGTGACCTCTAGGATCTAGGGGAAAGTTCGCCATTGCCAGAGGGCCCAGAGAGGCAGTAGCACAAGCTCCGGACCCTGATGCAGGCCCTGGCCTGTGCATCAAAAGGACCCTTTGCACAAAGGGACCCTGAGAGCCAGCAGCATCCAGGACCAAGGCCCCTGCCCAGGGCCAGGAATCCTAAGGCTTCAAGAAGAGGGCTGGCAGAGGAGGACGTGAGTTGGCAAGTGGGAGTTCCTGGGCCCAAGAGTTAGAGAAATCCTGTCTCGGGTGGGTGTGCAGCCCCCTCTGGGACAGGTCAGGGGCTCAGCAGTGTCTTTACTGGACACGTCTTATGTGTGTGAGAGGGAGGGGAGGGGATGGAACTCGTGCTCAGCTGACACATAGTGTTTACTTTGTGGCCCGTACCACTGGGCACCTCTTTTTATCCCATCTTCTTCCCTCAGCCACCCCCTGAAGCAGTGCTAGACTCCCCATTTTGGGGATGAGGGACTGGGGGGTGACCTAACTTGCTCAGTGTCGGGCAGCAGGTGTGAGTGAGAAGGGAGTGGGGCTCCAGGCTGCCCTTTACCACCTTCTGAGGGAGACATGAGCAGCCTCAGGCAGGGGGAGAGGATGGGGAGCAGCTTCCAGGTCATGACCTTGTGAACCCCAAGGCTTTAATATCACACGTGGTTCCCCAGGTGTCCTTGGCTGCATCAGAAGGTCCCTGAGGGTTCCTCAGGGAAACAAAAAGGGAGTTTGTTGAGCTGAGGGGACTTGGAGACAAGTTAAGGAGTTTGACTCAGAAGATGGCAGAGAGGAGAAGGAGGGGGCGAGGGAGAGGGGGAGAAGGATTTGGCAGGAATCTGGCAAGCCGAGGGCAGGAAGCGAGGCAACAACTGACTCACGAGGTTTGCCTTTTTAGGCTCGAACCATCTGATTGTGGGCCGAGGTGGGGGTGCGGGACGGGAGGCAGGCCAGCCGCCTCCGCCGCCGCTCCTTCCTGCCCAGCCTCCGCTCCGACCTGCCCCGGAGTCACCTTTGCCCTGTGCCGCACCCAGGCGACCTCCTTCGGGAGCCGGCCAGGCATGGGTGTGTGGCAGCCACCTTTCAGACCTGAGACGCGGATGCACGGTCTGATGTGTCTGCATTTGGGAACGAGCAGAGCAGGACAGGATGTTGAAAATCCAGCCGTGTGCGCCCCATGTCTGAATGGGGCTCGATGCGGCTCTTCTTGGGGTGGGATTTGGGTTTGGCCTGGCCTGTGTGGGTCCCTGAGGAAGAGCCTTTCACCCAGACCTTTGGGGAAACTGAGTCCAGGGGATTGTGTTGAGCTAAGAATTAAGCTAAAAACTGAAGGTCGGACACCTCGGAGGAAAGTCTGAGTGGGTCAGCAGCGCAGCCAGAAGCACGGAGTCCTGGGCAGTTTCTGGGGATATCCGTGACATGCTGCGGCAGTTCATGGGACAGCTGGTGGGGCGGAGGGTCAGATACTGAGTGGGCACATCTGAAAGGGGCGTGGTGTTTATCTGAATCTATTTGAGGACAAACGATCGGAAATGGTTCAATATGGAGACAAAATGCTTGAGATTTTAGATTTCCTGTTGCCATACCTGAGGGGTGGAGGGAGAGCGAGAACATGAGCTTGACTGATCTGCAGGCTGCCACTGTCAGAAAACCGGACGAGGTGACTTCAGCTCCCCACAGTTGGGATTTAGGCTGGTCCTAGGGCCCCGGCCAACTCCCTTCTCATGCATCTCTGAGCAGACACACGGCATCCCGCTTGCTCCCTGACCGGCAGGAGCTTGGCATGGACCCCACTCCATGTGCTTCACGTGACTTGATACTCATGTAACCTCCCTGTGTTCTCTTAAAGTCTCAAACCAACCACCTTGTCCCAGAGCCCCTGGGCACATGTGAGAAGGAAGAGCCCATTTCATTAGTGGCAAATGCTGAATCTCATCTGTGCCCACAGCTAATGGTCCCGCATCTTGTGGGAAGAAAGTTCAGATGGTTCATTGACTAAGCAATTTAATGCGACCTCAGCTCCCAACCACAATGGCTTTAGAGGAAACTTTAGAGGTTGATGTCCTTTTCCAAGAAACACTCTATTGTGACATCTCTCAGGAACATTCTCACATGAATCTGAAACACATTGGTCCTTAGAGTTTTCATCCTGGGACCTCCTTTCCCCCACAGGACCCTGCCACTCCTACACTATTCCTCCAAGTCCCGGGCTGTGGGCACTGAGGACCTCTGCATCGGTCTCTAACATCTTCCTCTTTCTGACTCTGCTTTTAGAGTTGCAGCTTCACTTAAAACCTCCTCTTTTCATGATAAAGTAAGATAATAACAGCTCTGTAATGGAGAGTGTGTTCTTTCCTTGGTAGATCTGACACCAATGAACAAAAGAACTGCATCACCTCCAAAGGAAATGTCTCTTCTTTCTTCACTGTCTTCTCCTTCGTCCTCCCTGCCATCTTCTTCAGCCAGCGTCCCTGGGAATACTCCAGGTGATTCCTCCCCACCTCAGGTGAGTGCCTCTGAGGGCCCTGCAAGGTGTCAGGAAGGTGAGCTGCCTGCACTTCTCCCACATTCCACACTTAATTCTGGATTCCAAGCCCCCTTCGGTCAAGCCGAGTGCAAAGCCAAGGCCAGAGAGATGCTCTGTCGAGGGTCCTCCCCAGGCCTTCCTCACAGGTGCCTTTTATGAAAGCTCATCCTGCTCCTCAGACATCCCCAAGGACATAGCCACTCCCTCAGCAGACTTGACAGGGTGTGGACTCTGTGCCAGGTGTGGGACTGTTCTGTGGGTTGCAGAGAAGCCAGGACTCAAGCTTTGCCCTTGAGGAACTCGCAGAGGGCACTGAGAAGCTCTCAGCCGAAGGATGGCAGGCACAGAAGGGAGGGGGCCTTGGGTAGCATCCAGAACCTTGGAAACAACATCCCCCTTGAATAGAAAATGCCATCGTTGACATGTGGGGCTGGGCACTTTCTTTCCATATGTTTTTGTCAAGCCCTTGTTACCTGCTGGGCCCTGTTCTAGGTCCTGGGAGGTAGAGTATACAAAACAGAGAAGATGTGTGCCCTTGTGAAGCTCCCGTCCTATGACCTGCCCCGCGGGCACCAGAGAGCTCTTGGCAGGCATAGCCCCTACTTCTAGAGTCCATTTATTTTCTTCCTTTGCCAAGGGCCAAGTTCCTGCATGCTGGGAATGGCTACTTTCTCAATGGTGCAAGGCGTGAGATTTAGAAAGGTCACGAAAGTCCTAGAGGCTATCCTTCAGCCACCACAGCTCCCACCCAGAGGGTAACTGTCTCTCTTTACCTTGATAACTTCCAAGGAAGAAGCCTTGGTCTCCTGGCTGTTGGAGGAACATACCAATGGGAGAACGTGCCCTTTCGTAAGGACCATGGCTGAGCAAGCTGAGGGGGATCTTGTTTTTCCCTGTGCACCCAGCCACCCACAGAGGCCAGGCCAGCCCTACCCTCACTGGCCCAGGAGCTGTCAAGAGCAGGGTCCATGCCTTTTCTTTCTCTTCTGGCCTCCTGCCCAATCTGGGACCCAGAAAAGCCTTCGATCAGCTCAGTGCAGAACCCAGAAGGTCCCAAGGCAGCCACTTAGAACAAAGAGCGACCCTTTGAAATCATCTTAGGCAAAATTCTTTTCAACTTTGGGTATCTGAGATGTAGAGAAAGAAAGGGAATAGAGTGTGGATTGAGATTTGCCTTCAACATATAAATAAATGCTGGGAATTTTTAAATAATTGCTATTTTTGCCCATCTTCTCTAGGTGACAGCTTACCACCCCCCCTCACAGGTCTCAAGAGGTCATTTCAGTCCTTCTACTTCAATCTTTCTGAGGCGAGCCAGAGCCCAAGGAGCACCCCAGGAAATCCCCCTGTATCTGCCTCACAGCCCGGTGCTGGAGCGGGCAGAATACTGTCTGGTGAGCCCTGCTGGAGATAGCCTCCCAAGCCCCACAGAGATGGCTTCTGATGGGTGCCAGGAATCGGGGACCCCTCTTGGGGATGTCAGAAGCATGCACAGAGACCCACACCCCATTGTGAGGAAGGACAGGTGCTTGGCAGGCCAACAGCTATCTCCCAGGGCTGCAGAGGACCCAGGACAAGGGGATATGCAACCCAGGAGGCAAGAGGATGGCAGGTCTGAGCTGGCAGAAGAGAAGAAGTTGGGCTTAAAGAAGTTGGTCCTCACTCAAGAGCAGAAGACCATGTTGCTGGATTGGAATGACTCGATCCCCGAGAGGGTACGCCTCAAAGCGGGGGAGCGACTTTCCCAGAAGAGTGCTGACAGTGCTACAGCAGGCCGGGTGCTGAAACCAGTCCTCCCCTTGCTGCTCCCTCAGGCAGCGAGAAAGACACCACCAGCCCCGAGGGAGGCTCAGGAGGAGATGGGGATGCCTGCTGAACGGGTTCCAGGAGAGCGAAGTGAGGATCCACCCAAGTCCCCCCTGCGGCTCATAGCAAATGCCATCCGAAGGTCCCTGGAGCCTCTCCTGCCCACCTCTGAAGGTGGGAAGAAGCCATGGGCCAAGCCAGAATCAAAACCTTTGCCCACCAGCCAGCCACATGCCTTCAGTCGCTCAGTCAGCCTTCGGAAAACCAGTTCCAATAAAGACTGGGACCAGCGGTCCCCAGGGAGAAACATGGCAAGCAGAGCCTCAGCCTTCTTCTCCCTGGGCACCCTGGCTGCCAAGCCTGCCCTGTCCTCAGACCTTAGCCCTCCAGACCCTGCCCTCCGCACCCATAGTTTGCCCAATCAGCCATGCAAGATGTTTCCTGCACTTGGGTCCTCAGCCTGCAGCAAGATGGAAGATGTTCCCACACTCCTGGAGAAAGTGAGTTTGCAAGAGACCTTCCCAGATGCTTCCAGGGGTCCAAAGAAAAGAACCTCACTGTTTTCCTCCCTCAAACTCAAAGACAAAGACAAATCTTTTGAGAGTTTCCTCCAAGAAACCAGACAAAGAAAGGACCTCAGGGACCTCTTTAGCAGCCCCAAGGGGAAGGTGCTGCCCGGGGACAGTGCCCAGCCCCTGGAGAAGCCGGAGCAGCCTTTCAAAAGCACCTTCCTAGGGCAGGTGGCCTGTCCTCCCTTTCCAGCGGGAGATGCAGGTAAGTGGCTCCTTCCTAATCAAAGTCTGCAGTTCATGCCAGGCAGTTAGTTATCCTCACTGGATTAATAACACGTAGGCATCTTTCATTTCGTTTTGCTTCTCAAATTAAATTCTGACAAAAGTAGAAAACTTGAAGTTGAAATATTTGAAAAAAATCTGAAAAAATTAAAGTTTTGAAATTATGTTATAGAAAGTGTTGAAAAGAGACAAAGAATCAACCATAATTCCACCACTTCCCACTCCTTGTCCGTACGAATATTCTTTACTAAGTTGCACCTGAAATTTTATCTTCTTTTAGTCACATTATGCCAATTATTACATAATCTATGTAAATGTGATTTAATAGAATATTCCATCTGGTGGATATATTGATATATTATCATTTAATGAACCATTTTCTTATTGTTTAACTTATAGGTATATATGAATATATAAATTATATACATGAATATATTTATATTTTATATATGGTATTGAATTTTATGCATGTAGCTTTTTCTTTCCTTTGGATTACTAGCCTACACACTTTATGTATATTTGGTTACCAATGGAAAGGTAGGCTTTTTTACCTTAAAATCTGATTAATTTTTCAAATTCTAAAACTAATTAATATATCAAAGAATCAGAATAATTTAACAATATGGAAATAGCTACAAAAAAGTAAAATGCATTATCTAATTCCCTCTCCTTCTGGCCAAAGTCATGGTATATTTCCTTAGAGACAGTTTAGCTAAACGTTCACATGATTTCTTTTTTGTTGTGAAAATTTGTTTGATTGCTTTAAACAAACTGTGATCCTACTGTCCTATTGTTGAGCAACTTTGTTTTTCTTTATTTTTTTTATCTTTTCATATTCTTATTTGACTTTTATTTTGGAACATTCGTTTTCAAGTAAAAAAATATTTATCTTCTTTGGTGTCTTAACCAAAGAGCTCTATAGCTTAACAAGAGATTACTTTCAGCTAAGTTCAGAATAAGCAGGGGCAGGCTGGAGTATAACTACAAATCATAAAATTGAATGTGCTGTGCATTTTCTGCTAGATAATATACATTCACATGGTTCAAAATCAAAGGGTACAAAATCCACAAAATGAAAAATCCTCTTTCCCTGTCTTGCCCCTGAGCCATCCGGTCCTATCCCTGATGATAGATATTATCATATATTTCTTAGGCATTCTTCCAGACAGAATTTATGCACATAAGAGCAGATTTACATATTATAGTCTTTCTTTTTTAAAACAAATAGTAGCATACAATACATACTTTTTGTGTGCTTTTATTTTGGAGGTCATTTCATATTAGTACATAAAGAACTTTCTCCTTTATTTTATAGCTGTACAATATTCGATGCTGTAGATGTACCATAATTTATGTAGCCAGTTCCCTGTGATGCAAAGTTTAGGTTATTTCAGATCTTTGGCTATAGCAAACAGTGCTACAATAATTAATGGAGAACTTAAACCATTCAACGTATGCATGAATTTATTTATACAATACATTTCTAGAAGTGGAAATTCTGGAACGAAGGACATATGAACTAGGAATTTTGCTAGATACTGCCAAATTGTCTTCCATCACTGTGTGCCAGTTCACACTCCCAGCAGCAAGAGTCAGCACTGTTTCTACACTTGCACTAAGTGGTGTGTTACCCAACGTCCTTTCTTTTATTTTTTTAATCTTTACCGATCTGATGGGTGAAACATAGATCTCGGAGTAGTTTACATTTCATTTCTCTTTTAATAAGGTGATTGAGCATCTTTTCATATGTGTATTTCCTTTTCTGTGCGTGGTTGTTTCTGTCATTTGTCCAGTTTTCTGTTTTTTTTGGGGGGGGGGGTTGTTTTTTTTTTTTTTTAATGATACATATGGACTCTTCATTAAAAGAGAAATTTAGCCCTTTCTTGTAAAACTTTTTTTCAGTTTCTTGTTTGTGTTTAACTTTGTTATGGTGGTTTTTGTTGCATAAAATTTTTATTTTTATATAGTAGTTGCAAACAACTTTTCACTTTATGGCTTCTGAGTTTTAAATAATAGCCTAAAAGGAGCATCCTCCAAGTTTATAGGAGAGTTTTCTTGCACTTTCTTTGTGTTTGATTGTTTTTAATATTTTTACACTTAAATATTTACATCAAGAAATTATTCTAATATGACATGTGAGCTATGGATCCAACCTTATTTTTTTTATGTCTCTCTGATTATTCTAAAATAATTTAGTGAACAATCCAATTTTTCCTCTCTTGTGTGAGATGACATCTTTCTCACATATCGAATTCCTGTACTTGGACTTATCTATACACCATCTATTAGATTGAGTTGCCTGTTATGTATCAGCACCACACTGTTTTAATTACCTAACTTTATAGGTTTATATGTCTTTTACTTTATGTATTTTGCTATCTGATAGGAAGAATATTTTATTACTGATCTTCTTTTTCTAAAATTTCCTGGCTCTTCTTACTTGTTCAATGTTCTGTATGAACTTAGCATCAGCTTGTCTGTGTACCAAAAAAATTCCTGTGAGCACTTATATGGGATTAAGTTTATAAACTAACTAAAAATGAATTTATAAGTTTATCATATGAATTACCTTTCTACTTGTTCATATTTTTGTTGTGACCTTCAGGAATATTTTAAACTTTATATCATGTAGATCTTGCATATTTATAAATTTATTACTAGACATATTAGTTTTTGTTGGTATTGTAAACAGTCTTTTCCAGTTTATCTTCCTACTATTGTTTGTATATATGAAAGTTATTGCTCTCTGTATAATAATTTTGTACCCACATATTTCACTGCTTTCTCTTTGCTTGTAAAAGTTTTTCAATGGATTCCCCTGGGTCTTCCTGATATATATACAATCATAACATCTGCAAATAATGATAATTTTACCTCCTGCTTTCAAATCGTGTACCTCTAATTTATTGTTTCCCTAGTTTCTTTTGTATCCAGAATCTCCACAACATTATTAAAGTAGTGTTAATGATTTTCTTATTATATTCTTAACGTTAATGAGATGGCTGCAAGCATTTTCCCATTTAAGCATGATACTGGCTTCTGGGTTGACCCAGATGTATTTCATCATTTTAAGGAAATAGCCTTCCAGTCCTATTTTATTAAGAGTATTTTCAATCACAAATGGATGTTGAATTTTATCATACATCTTTTCAGCACCTTTTGAGATGTTTGTATGACTTTTTCTTCCTTAGTTTGATTAATATTATGGATTATATAATAGATTTACTGACATTGAACCATCCTTGCATTGCTGAAATAAATACCACATGGTCATATTGTCTTATTATTTTAAAATACTTTTCAATTCTGTTTGCTAATATTCTATTTAAGATTTTTACATTAAATTCATAGGTAAGATTAGCCTATAGTTCATTGATATCACATTTATATGACTCTGTATGTGATGATTAGAATAAGTTGGGGTGAATGTATTTTCTTGATTTACTTATCATGGAGAGCTGCTTTATTTATATTCATTAGGAAATGATGTGTCTTCTTTGGCCTGGTACAAAATGGGAGTGTAGAGAATGGAATTAGGATGGGGCTGGCCAGTTCTGGAAGTGGTGCCTGGGCCCATCTCTTAGAAGAGCTTTATTTTTGTCTCAGGTGTTCTTAGGCCAGTATCCTAAGAATGTAAAGATTAACGTAGCCTATCAGATTAGGCCCATCAGTCTCTTTTTATTTCCTTTCCCCTGTGCAGTCCACCAACACACACATATACATACACTGACACTACTGTGTCAATGTTTAACTTGTGGGTGCACACGTCCATGTGATGAAGAAACAATATCACACTCGTTCAAATTGAAGTACCTCAAATCTGTGATCACTTGAATAAGAGCCAGGCTGAAATTTAATTTTGTATTTTTGCAAGACAACTTTCCAAGTAAATTAATGATATACATAAACTTAGGGTATTTAAATGACTCAGGGGCATAAACTAGTTTCAAGTACTTACCAAGGCCCATTTGATACAGTTTTAATGCTAGTTATTGTTTCTGTGTATGACTAAAGAAGTCACTCTGAGAATCTTTTGTATATTTAAGTAAACTTTTTTATTGCAGTATAACATACATGAAGTCCACAAATATTAAGTCTACAACTGATGAATTTTTGCAAAGTGCCCGTTTGTGTAATTACCTCTGCTTCCTCCCCGTAATATGCCCCACCTACAGAAAGTACTTACCATCAGACTCCTATAAGCTTAGGTTACTTTTGCAGCTTTTTTTTTTTTTTAATTGGAGCATTCACTATTACGGTAGGCAGAATTCTAAAGGGTCCCAAGCTTCCTGCCCCCTAGTGTGCTTGCTCTGTGTAA